CTCCCCCTACCGCCTCTACCCCTCCACCTTCCCCCACCCCTGCCTCCACCCCTACCCTTGCACTGCCCCTCTACCCTCCCCACTCCACACCTGCCCCCACCCCAGGCCTTTGAAGTGGCCGAGAAGGAGCTGGGGATTCCTGCTCTCCTGGACCCCAGTGACATGGTCTCCATGAGTGTCCCGGACTGCCTCAGCATCATGACCTACGTGTCCCAGTATTACAATCACTTCTCCAGCCCTGGCCAAGGTGAGAGGGGACCAGCCCTGCAAGGGAGGCTGGTCCTGGGGCGGCAGGGAGGGGACTGGGGATGCGCAGGACTGATTTTCTGAGCGTTAAAGGGGCAGGTGGGCAAGCAGTACGTCATTTGTTCACCAGATCATTCATCCAGGCACTGAGTACACAGCACTGAGTACACAGCACTGAGCACTGCGATAACAGTTCACAATCTTCTGGGCAACAAACACCTAAACCAGTCACTGAACAAAATAAAGGTCGAGAGACTAAGCAGGGCGACCTCACTCGCCCGCCTGTGAGTTCACCTCTCTGGCACTCACCCTCACTTCCTGTTTGCCGACACTTCCCTGAGGTTTTTCCTCCCCAGCGAGCAAGCAAGTAAGTGAGCAAGACCTTCAAGGTCTGAGAGCCGAGAGGCTGGGGCACTGGGGGTGGGGCTGGGGAGCTGGGGGGGCTACTTCTCTGCTCTGAGGGGCTGTTGAACCCCCTGCCCCTGGCATCTTCGGGCAGGAATCTATTTTGCGGGAGGACAGCGGGGCCTCTCCTTCTGCAGAGAAGAAATGGAGGGGAAGCAAGGAGCTCAAGGTCACACAACAGGAAAGCTGAATGACTGGGCCCGAATCTGGGTGTCCCGAATCTGGGTGTCCCGACACCTGCGCTGGGTCCCTGGGGGCCTTGACTCGCCCCAGACTATCTCTTTAAAAAAAAAAAAAGTGTTCTATAAAGACTGTTTTTTTTTCCTGAGAGTAAAACAGGAAATCTTTATGATAGAAAAGGTAGAACATAGAAAAGAGCATAAAAATTAAAATAATCTGTCACCCACCCCAGCAATAGAGATCAATATTATAACTGAACAAGTAACATTATGTGTGTTTTAGTAGAAATCAAAGCAAAAGTATTTCCTGACCACTGAGTCTTTGGTGAGAGGCAGTAGGGTGGAAATTAAGAGCATGGACTTAGAACTTTAGCTTTGCCATTGACTGACTATCTGGATAACAATGCGCCACCGGGGTCATCTGCCTGCCTCAGTTTCTCCTTTGCAGTGGGGATAAGAATAGCACCCGTCTCTTAGGATTGATGTGAGGAGCAAGGAAATGTGAACCTGTCTGGCCCTTCTTTCGGACCCAGGGTTAATACTCTGACTTCTTTATTTCATTGGTTAGAGTTTAGCCGGCTTACCTAGAATCACAATTCAGTCTTCTGGAAGGTTCCCTGTCTCCAAACCCTAATCTCTTTCAAGTAAGCTCTTTTGTAGAGGGCCACCCTTCCTGAGGGGACTGTGAGGTGGTTGGGGGGGTGGGGGGGGTTCTGCAATACTGTGGCTGGTGTCTGCTCTATTCCTGGGTGCTCGCTGGGCACCCCTGGTGGGCCTGGCTCCCCTCGCTGCGTCGGGGTGGGAGCACCCCCTAGGCCTGCGGGGGTTCTTATTGCTAAAGGTGCCGTTTGAAAAGGTGCTTTTCATACAACTTGGCCCCTAAAGGCAAACCATTTTTATCCCACCTGCTGTTCAACCCAAGGAAATAATCACAGTGCGTTCCCTGCTGGGAGGCAAAGCAGCCTGCCAGGCTTCCCCAGATGGCGCTGGGCTGTAACTTTGGGGCAAGTAGAAGGGTTTCAAGGGCAATTTTGACCAGACTTGACTTTCACTGGACCCGGTACCTTGGCTCTGGCCAAGACACCACAGCACCTTGCCGAGTGTTCCCCTTGGCTCCGGGGTGCCAGTGACCCTGGGCACAGCGGCGGACCCCTGCCCTCTGGGACCCACGGCGTGGTCTGGGACCGCCAGAGTGTGAGTGCAGGAAGCCCAGCGGCTGTCACATCCCTTCTCCACTAAGCCTTTCTTCCTGGTCATCGATCCTGCGGCCCCAAACTCCATTTTCTGTCCCACCTTTCCCACCCCCACCCACAACATTCTTTCCTATCCACCTTCCCAGCTTCACATTTTGCCTCCTCTAAGCAATCTCCCTACCCTCCCCCCTCCCCCCCTGCCCTGGGGCTCTGGAGGGAGGGAGAGCACAGGTTAATGATAGGTAGTATAGGGGCGCCTGGGTGGCTCAGTCAGTTAAGCGTCTCACTTAGGCTCAGGCCATGATCTCACGGTCCGTGGGTTCGAGCCCCGCATTGGGCTCTGTGCTGACAGCTCAGAGCCTGGACGCTGCTTCAGATTCTGTGTCTCCCTCTCTCTCTGCCCCTCCCCCGCTTGCTCTCTGTCTCTGTCTCTCAAAATAAAATAAAGGCGTAAAAAAAAAAAGGTAGTATAGTTGCAAAGGAGAGGAGAGAAGGAGGGAAGGAAGACAGAGGGATGATGGAGGGGTGCTCCTCGATCAGACTGCCTGGCTTCCAAAGTTTCTGACGGTGACTCATCACACACATTCCCATTGCAGTCCAAGTTCATGTACATGTGTCATTAAAACAAGTTTCAGGAAACGGTTCTTCCCCTTGCAGCATGTGATATGTGCAGGGGCGCCCGGCTGGCTCATTAGGTAGAACACGTGCCTCTTGATCTCCGAGTCGTCAGTTCAAGGCCCACAATGGGTGTCGAGAGCATTTAAAAAGACACAGTAGCAGTGGCGCTGGGGTGGCTCAGTTGAGTGTCCAACTCTTGATTTCAGCCCAGGTCATGAGCTCATAGTTTGTGAGTTTGAGCCCCGCGTCAGGCTCTATGTTGATGGTTTGAAGCCTGCATGGGATTCCCCCTCTCTCTCTAAATAAATAAATAAACTTTAAAAATTCTTTAAAAAAAAATATCATTCGGCAAATGATATTTCAGACTACAGTAAGGAACGTGAGGTTTATTCTTGTTTTTTTTTTTAATGTTTTTATTTATTTCTGAGAGAGAGAGAGAGAGACAGCGTGAGCAGAAGAAGGTCAGAGAGAGAGGGAGATACAGAATGTGAAGCAGCCTCCAGGCTCTGAACTAGCTGTCAGCACAGAACCCAATGTGGGGCTCGAACCCACAAACCGTGAGATCATGACCTGAGCCGAAGTTGGACGCTCAACTGACTGAGCCACTCAGGCACCCCGACTTAGGATTTATTCTTAAAATGGTCAAACTGTAAAATTGACTTTTTTGGGTATATGAGTTTTTGCATTTTAGATTTTTATTTAATTTATTTTTACATGTTTATGTATTTTGAGAGAGAGAGAGCGCGCGCTTGTGTACAGCATGAGCAGGAGGGGCAAAGAGGGAGACAGAGAGAGAATCTCAAGCAGGGTCCATGCTGTCAGCACAGAGCCCGATGTGGGGCTCGATCTCACAAACCTGAGATCATGACCTGAGCCAAAATCAAGAGTCAGACCACTGAGCCACCCAGGTGACCCAGTTTTGTTATTTTAATCATAGGGTACAGTGGATATTTGCTGAGGTAATAAAGGAGGGAAGTCTCAGCTGGGCGGGGGGTCAGGGGCACGCTGGCTGGTGCAGTGGGTGGCTTGCTTCTGCTGTGAGGGAGTACAGACAGGGTTCTCGGCCACACCAGCCCGTTTTCCTGAATCTTCAACCAGTACCACGTGGCTTCTCTGTTTTCCTTTCCTCCAACCCCCTTCCTCTGGTGGGAAGGAAGCTTCTGGTCCTGCCACATACCAGGTACTGGTAATTGTGTGATCGTACTGTTGCCTTAGCGTTTACACTGCCCCTGTGCGGTAGGGGTCGCTGTCCCACTTAGCGGATGCTCAGGGAGGTTAAGTAGCTGGCCCTTGCCCTTGCCCTTGGCTTCCAAGAGGCCGTGTCTCCTGGCGCATGGGAAGTGGGAGCCTGCTCTGGTCTAGCTGTTTGGGGGTAGCCTGCCCAAAGGCGATAGCCGTGGAGCTCAAGTTGTAGGCCAGGTCGGGGCCTCCTGGGACGCCGGGGTCTCCACCTGCCTCAGGATCTCCCTCCTGTCTCTTGGCAGCTGGTGTCTCATCACCCAGAAAGGCCCAGGCACCCTCCTCCCCGCCATCAGCAGCACCTACTCCAGCAGAACCGGGAGACCCGGCTCAGGTAGGCAGAACATTCTGCAGCAATGTTCGCGCTTGGTCCTTTTCCCGTGGGCTTTGGTGGTAGAGCCTCATTGGCCAGGGTGGGCGAGGGGGCAGGGGGCCGATTCCAGTCCCGTTCTGTGGGCACGGGGCTCCATTCTTTCTCCAGGGCTTGGGGCAGAATCAGGAGATGCCAGGCCTGGGAAGGGGGCCGTAGGACAGTCTGCGGCACCGACACTGCCGTCGTGGCGCTGCCAGGATTTACACACGTCATCCAGCAAATACTCCCCCGATTCCTGTTGAGACAGGCTGTTAGCTTCCTAGCATGGTTGCATTTTATCCTGTCAACAACTCGGGCAAGTGGGTATTATGTGACCTGATACAAAGATGAGAAAACTGAGGCTCGGAGAGGTTTGGTCATTTGGCCAAGGCCACTCCCCTGCTCCAAGATGTTTAGAGGAGCGACGCTAGCCCTTCACATGTGGGTAGCGCTTCCCGGTGTGCCAAGGGCTTTTCCGCCTGCTCCCAGCTTCCCCTTGCCGGAGGAGCTTCCGAGGGATGGGGTGCGGGCGGGAGCTGTCCCCGTGCCGTGCTGGTGCCCAGTGAGGCGGGGCTGAGACAGGCAGGGGTTGGTTACAGGATTCCATTTGCAGGAGGGAACCCAAGGCACAGAGGTGCTGTGAGAAGCTGGCTCAAGGTCACGGTGCTTGGCAGTGGAGAAGCTGGGATTTACATCTGCAGCTCTGGGAGGGGAGGCAGAGAAGGCAGCTGAGGTGGGCCTCAGAGGACAGTCACCCGCCAGGGGCTGACCTACAGGGATGAGAGAGGGGAAGGGGAAATACAGCCAGGAGCCCTCTTTCTGGCAAGGGAGGGCCCCAGAAACTGGAAGTCAGGATTTTTGTTTCCATTCTGACTCAGTGACCTTGAGCAAGTCTCTCCCTCTCTCTGGGCTTTAGTTTCCTCATCTGCAAAGTGGTGACTGTCCCTTTCTCTTCTCCTCCGGGGCTCTGATGAAGGACATAACTACAGCGATGCTCATGCAGACCGGGGGGATAGTGGCTTTTGGAGGGGAAGGGGGTTCTTCCTTAAAAGAATTTTTTTTAATGTTTCTTTTTGAGAGACAGACAGAGAGAGAGAGAGAGAGAGAGACGGAGTGTAAGTGGGGGAGGAGCAGAGAGAGAGGGAGACACAGAATCCGAAGCAGCTCCAGGCTGTGAGCTGTCAGCACAGAGCCTGATGCGGGGCTTGAACTCGTGAACTGCGAGATCATGATCTGAGCCGCGAAGTCAGACGCTCAACTGACGGAGCCACCCAGGCGCCCTGGAAGGGGGCTTTTCTTAAACGGGGTGGCTGGCGCTCACACCTCTCTCCCCATCTGCCCACCCTGTTCCCTGCAGGGTGAGGAGCTCTCCTCGGGCAGTCTGTCAGAGCAGGGCACCCACCGGACCCCCAGCAGCACGTGCGCGGCGTGCCAGCAGCACGTGCACCTGGTGCAGCGTTACCTGGCCGAGGGCAAGCTGTACCACAGGCACTGCTTCCGGTGAGTGGCTGGGGGGACTCGGGGGGCAGCGGGCTACACTCCCCCAGCACCCCATTTCCAGGGAGGGGGCTTCCACGAATCAGCATCTCAGTGTGCCAGGGTCATTGAGGGCCCCCTCATGCCAGACCATCTCGGTTATACCCATTTTATTGATGAGCAGACTAAGGCTTGGTGAGGGGAAAAGCCTTGCTCCTCACATAAATAGAGAAGGGGATGAGCTCGGGGCTTCTGCCTCCGGGCGCCAGAGCTCTCTGAAGCTAACTGCGTTATGACCCGTGAAGGAGCTGCTTTAAAAGCCCTTGGGGGAAAAAAGGATTTTTAAAACCATCACAACTTGCGTTCAATGTGTGGCTCCCAGGGGAAGTCAAGTTTAAAGAAAATAGAATAAGAGACGAGGAAAAGGCAAACAGCTTAGAAAATGTAGAAAAACATTTTAATTAATTAATTTTTAATTTTTTAATGTTTATTTTTGAACAGAGAGACAGGATGCAAGCAGGGAGGGGCAGGGAGGGAGACACAGAATCTGAGGCGGGCTCCAGGCTCTGAGCTGTCAGCACAGAGCCCGACGCGCGGCTCGAACTCACAGACTGTGAGACCATGACACGAACGGAGCCGGACGCTTAACCGACAGAGCCACCCGGGTGCCCTGTGTTTTTTTTTTTTATAGTTTATTTATTTTTGAGACAGAGAGAAACAGAGCATGAGCAAGGGAGGGGCAGAGAGAGAGGGAGACACAGAATCCGAAGCAGGCTCCAGGCTCCGAGCTGTCAGCACAGAGCCCGACGTGGGGCTCGAACCCACAAACCGCAAGATCATGACCTGAGCCAAAGCCTGACGCTCAACCGAGTGAGCCACCCACGTGCCCCAGGTGCCCCGTATTTTATTGTATTTCATTAAAAAAACCCAAAAAACATTGCTTGATTGAAAACCACTGACTTGATTTTCTGAGCCACTAATGACTGACAGCCCAAACCTGGGATGATATACTTCTGTGTGGGGGCAAACTTTTGCTTCCTCTTGCAGTGCAAACTGAAGGCACATTTCACAATTTATGCTGCTTGATTTCATGTGACTTAAAAAAAGTTTTTTAGGGGCGCCTGGGTAGCTTAGTCGGTTAAGCGTCCGACTTTTGCTCAGGTCATGATCTCGCGGTTCGTGGGTTCGAGCCCCGCGTCGGGCTCTGTGCTGACTGCCAGCTCAGAGCCTGGAGCCTGTTTCAGTCTGTGACTCCCTCTCTCTCTGACCCTCCCCTGCTCACGCTGTCTCTCTCTGTCTCCTAGAAATAAATAAAACATTATAAAAAAAAATTTTTTTTTAAACATTATTCATTTTTGAGAGAGAGAGAGACTGCGAGTGGGAGAGGGTCAGAGAGAGAGGGAGACCCAGAATCCGAAGCAGACTCCAGGCTCTAAGCTGTCAGCACAGAGCCCGATGCAGGGCTCGAACCCACGAGGGTTAAGATCATGACCTGAGCTGAAGTCGGACGTTTAACTGACTGAGCCACACAGGCGCCCCTGATTTCATGTGATTTTAGTGTCCTGTGCTTCTGACGTTTACCATTTTCCTTTTCCTCTGGAAAGTCCAGGGCATCAAGACAGAATCCAGGCTGGCAGGGGGCAGGAGGGGAGGGAGAGAGCAGCCCTGGCTGCTGGGGGAGGAGCAGCCGGTGTCCTGGGCCGAGTTGGGGCACCCACCCCACCTTCTCCCCGGCAGGTGTCGGCAGTGCTCCAGCACGCTGCTCCCTGGAGCTTACCGAAGTGGACCCGAGGAAGGCACCTTCGTGTGTGCGGAGCACTGTGCCAGGCTGGGCCCGGCTGGGCGGTCGGGGACCAAGGTCGGGCCCCCGCTGCGGCCAAAGCAGCAACAACTGGCAGAAGAAACCAAGGATGTGGACGGAGGTGGCCCCAGCGCCGATGCGCCCACGGGGGCTGAGTCGGACATGCCCAAGGGTGGCCCCGACCCTCGGCCCCAGATCCCCAGCAAGCCCCGGGTCCCAAGCAAACCGCAGGAGCCGGGCAGCTCTCCGGCCGGCCGCCCCACGCCTGCCCCGAGGAAGACCTCCGAGAACACAGCCCCGACGCCCCCCACACCGCGGCCGCGGTCCAGTCTGCAACAGGAGGCCCCGGGGGAGCAGGGTGGCGGCGGTGGCTTAGTAAATGGTGAGCAAGGCTTCAGCAGGGGACACGGGCACTCGCCGGGGTGTATCGGGGGCTTGAACGGACGTGTGCCCTGGGAGCGCTCACGGGGCCATGCTCTCCGTGCCTCGTTCAGTTCCACGCTCGCGGAGGCCTGAGCTGGGCCCTGGGCAGAGACATCCAGTCCGGGCCGATCTGTGCCTTTAAGGTGCTGCCAGTGTCAAGGGGGAGACGGGCGCAGTCCCAGGGATTTCCGGAGAATGGGGAAGTCTGTTACGTAGGGGGAAGTGGAGGCCATTGTGGATTGCATGGAGGACACTTAGGGGTCATGGGAGGCTCTGAGGAGAGGGTGATGTTGAGGTAGTGTTTCTGGTCCACGTTGGGGACGTGTCCCCCTCGGGTCCCCCCCCTTCTCAGCTGAAATGCAGATGAGGTTTCCAGTATCCTGGCCTTGTCCCCAGGACTATTCTTTACCTATCACCTTTGGTGCTTATTTAATCTCGCTGAGGGCTGGGAGGTGCGAGGTTGCCATGGCTACCGGGAGTCCCAGATCTGCCAGGTAGAAAGGGAGGGCACACCAGGTTCCCCAGGGCCCGACCCACAGCCGCCCAACCCACAGCCGCCCACAAAGGCCTGTCTCACTCTCCTTTCCCATCTAGGAAGGCTGCACGAACCCCCCGTCCCGAAGCCGAGAGGGACCCCTAAGCTGTCTGAGAGGTACGCTTTCCTGCATCAGAGGCCCTCATTGTGGGTATGCGGGTGCCCCTGAGGCCTGGGGGGACAAGGCACAGACTCACTAGCACACCCTCCTGAGGACGCAGGAGGCTCACTCTGGGTGGGGTAGGAGCGCTGTGCCCGCCTCTCCTTCCCTGAGGCTCCCCCTGGGGCCCCCACTTCTGTGGGGGGTAGTCTGGTGGAGACAGTACCCCCAGAGTCCCTTGACCTCTCCAAGCCTCTGCTGCTCTGTTCACGTGGGAGCGCTAGGCCTCACTCATAGAGCTGTTGTGAGAATTGTCAGCCAAGTATAGAAAGACCCAGAAAAGCTCAGCTCCCACCCTCTACCCTGGGACCCTGCGTCCTGCGTGAGGACATCTATTTCCAACTGTTCTTTGGAGCTGTGCTTCCCCTGTGTGGTCTGTGAGGGAGAGGGGTGGGCCCCGGCTGACATAGTCGTGTACTAGGTGAGCACTTGCTGTATGCAAGGCGCTCTGTCCGCTGGATCCTTATAATAACCCTTGTGAAGTGAAGATTATTGTCCCCTTTCATAGGTGGTCGATGGCTTTCTCAGCCTCACACAGAGAGTCCCTGTGGGTCCTTTCCTGGGCTGGGCTAATGGGGGCTGTGTGATGTCAAGTTTCTCTCTCTCTAGGCCTCAAGGGACCCAGCTGGGCTGTGACTATAGCAGTGGCTTTCAGCCTTGGACCCAGACTGGCCCCACTGGGCTGGGAGAGGAGTGCAGTTTCTCATTTACTCCCTTTGAAATAAAGAGACTCAAAATTGTCCAGAGAGAGGATGCTGCCACCCATCCCCCCCTTGCCCACTAATGGTCCCTGCCTCTTCCCACCTCCGTCCAGGACACCAGCCCCCAGGAAGGACCCCCCGTGGATCACACTGGTGCAAGCAGAACCGAAGAAGAAGCCAGCCCCCCTCCCCCCGAGCAGCAGCCCCGGACCTCCAAGCAGGCGGGGGGAGAACGGAGGGGTGGAGGAGGTGGCCCAGCAGAGCCAGGTGACAGCTGGCCTGGAGCCCAAGCCCTACAACCCCTTCGAGGAGGAAGAGGAGGAGGAGGAGGAGGCGGAGCCCCGAGCTGCACCCAGCCTGGCCCCAGGCCCTGCCCCAGCCCACTCAGAGTCCACACCCAAGGCCCTGCACCCCTGGTATGGCATCACCCCCACCAGCAGCCCCAAGACAAAGAAGCGCCCCGCCCCCCGAGCGCCCAGTGCCTCCCCGCTTGGTGAGTGCCACCTCTGGGAGCCCTCCGGACAAAACTTCGGCTCGGCTGCCTGGCTCAGGCCCGGGCCAGGGGAGGGTGGAGGTGGGGGGCTGCAGTGGGATCCCTGCCAGGCCACGTGTGTCCTCTCTGAATTTGAGAGCAAACCTGTGAGGTAGGTCACGCTCCCATTTTGCAGGCGAGGAAACTGAGGCACAGAGAGGGTGAGTGATTTACCCAAGGCCTCATAGCAAGAAAGCAGCAGAGGCAGGCAGGATGTGTCAGGCAGGAGGCCCCAGACTCTTGACTCCTAACCTTCCTTGGCACGCCCCGCGTGTGAGGCGCGGTAAGGATTGTATGTGCCCCCCTGGCCCCTCCCCGGACCCTCCTCCGGGGCTCAGCACAGCCCGGCTCACGGAGAGTGGACGCCAGAGTTTAGCCTGAGTCCACCTGTCTAGTCACTGCCCGCCACTTTCCGGGCACCTTGGACTCTGATCCGGCTGTGTGTGACGCACGCGTAATGCCCTTGAGTAGTTCTCTCCTGTGTCTGCCTTCAGTGGCCCCATCTGGAAGGTGGCGGTGGCGGGCCAGCTCCAGGGCACCGTGCCCGCTCTGCCCAGAGCGCCCTCTCTTATTCAGGCACGTCGTAGTTTTTGTCTGTCACCATCTTGCGGTTTCCTCAGGCCTGGGGCCTGGTCATCTCCCACCACGGCTGGGGTGTGGCTGCCTCTGGGACCTCAGACGGTGGCACTGAGAGCGTGTGAGAGATACCTGGACTCAGGTGCTCAGACCGTCTGGGGTCCCCACTCTGGCCCCTGCTGGAGCCCCGGGACCTTGGAATTAAGGGTGGTGGGTGGCTCCAGGATGCCATGGGCGAGATGAATGCTGAGTCACACAGCTCGGTCAGTCCCAGCCTTTCCTTGGGCTGGGACTGAGTCTGTTGCCTCATCTGGCACAGACGGTGGGACTTCAAGGCATGGTGTCCATCAACCACATGAGGACTCGAGTGGCACCGGGCAGTGCCTGGCCAGGGCGGGCCGCTGGTTCCTCCCCTCTCCTGCTGGTCCGAGGCAGAGGAGAGGTCGGCCTCGATTCCGTCCACCCTCCCCTCCTGGGGCAGATCTGCCCCTTCCACTGGGCTTTGCCTGGGGTCGGGTCAGACGTGGGTGGGTGCGGAAGTGGCGGTGGCAGCCATGTGCGTGAGGAAGTGGGAGGCAGTAAAGGAACCCAGGACTACGGATGTGCCCCGAGGTGGCACAGCAGAGCCCAGAGCGTGGGGGATGAATTCGGATGATTTGTCCCCTACTGACCTTGGCCCTAGCACGTTGCTGTTCTCCGGGCCCTGGCCTGGACCGGACACGGAAGGACTTGGGTTTCCAGGGCCCCCTGCGGCTCTGTGGAGAGTGGGGGGGGGGTGGTGTCAGGTGAGGCCATACCTCCCCGTGTGGCGCTCACGTGCTCATTTGTTTGCACAGCTCTCCACACCTCCCGTCTCTCACACTCAGAGCCACCCTCGGCTACCCCATCGCCAGCCCTCAGCGTGGAGAGCCTGTCGTCCGAGAGCCCCGGCCAGACCCCGGCGGGGGCGCTTCTGGAACCGCCAGCTGTGCCCAAGAGCTCCTCCGAGCCTGCAGTCCATGCCCCTGGCACTCCCGGGTCGTCAGCCAGCCTCTCCGCCGAGTCCTCACTGTCTTCTTCTGGAGAACTGGTGCAGCCCAGCGCAGACCGGACACCCCAAGCCAGCCCCGGCCTCGGCCCCGACACGAGGGGCGGCCTGGGGCCCCGGCCAGCCAAGCCCTGTGGTGGCTCAGCGCCCACCCCTCTTGTACTGGTTGGAGACAAGAGCCCCGTGCCTTCTCCTGGAACCTCATCCCCGCAGCTCCAGGTAAAGGTGAGTCCTCCCCCCACTTGCTAAGAGCTGCCATCCTGTCTGGCAGAGGGGGTTCTGGTCCGGGGCGGGAACGTCCAGGGCCTTCCCTCTTTGCTGGCCTCTAGCCTTCTCCACTGACCCGGATGTGTCCATCTGCTCTATTCGCCGAGATTCATCCATCCACCCTTGTGTCCGTCTGTCCGCCTGTCCCCGTCTGGCCTTTCGTGTAGTGATGCGTCCAGCCCCTGCTTCCTTGCCTGTCCCACGTACTCGCCCAGTCGCGACCCCCTTCACCCAGCCGCTGTCCATCTTCACATCCCTCCGTCCACCTTTCTGTTCTCCGAGGCCCCGCCCCTGCCCAAGGCCCCCTCCCCCCAGGCCCGCCCCATGCTCTGTCTCCTTCAGGGGGTAGCAAGGGCAGGGGGCGCCCACCTCAGGGAGCCCCCTTCCCAGGTGACCTTCGTGCCGAGGACTGGGGGTCATTAGGGGTCAGGACATCCCTGGCGGCATCTAGTTTCTGAGGGCACCTCTCTTGTAGCCGCAGCCCTTTGGGGCCACCAGGTTCGGATGGTCCACTTCGGCACACACGCTGTAGCCTGCTGGGGCCCACGGCTCATGCAGCCCCGGGTGGAGGGTGGCGGACAGCTCACGGGAGGTGGCTGTCATCGTGATCAGATGGCCTCTGGGGAGAGGGCTGAGCTATTGGTCCAGACGTTTCGCCTGCCCTGTCCCGCCCTGCTGCCCGCCTGCTCTGTGACCTCGAGAAGGTCCTATCCCTTCTGCGGGCCTTAGGCTGCTCCGAGGAGGCCCTGGGTTTCTTAGTAGGGGCCGGGAGGGGAAGAGGTCAACTTTGGACACCTCCCCTCCCCCTTCGGGCAGCTCCTTTTAAACGTCTTCTTCCCCTCCTGGGGTGTGTGTAAGGTTAACTTGACAGTCTGTGCTCAAAGGCCGAGAACCCTGAGGGACTTGGGGGCCTCGGGCTCCTGGGTCCTGCTGAGCCCCTCCGGGTGCTGCCCTGTGGGAACCAAACCCTGTCCCCTTGCTGTGCCTGGACTCAGGCCCTGGTACTTCCCCAAATCCCAGGGCAACTGCCAGTCCCAACGGACCCCTGGGCTGGCACAGGTGAGGTGAGCGGGGCTCCCTCCAGCCTCCCTGAGCTGCTGGGAGAAAGCTGGGTAAACAGTCCTGGGAGCACCGCAGGCCTCAAGTGAGACCTTTCCATGGGACCCATGATGTTATGTCTGTTTCCGACGAGCCAGAGACAACAGTGGGAAGACGTTGGCCTGGGCCAGGAGCTGCCTTTACCTCTCTGAGCCCGAGGCCCTGCTAGAAAAGGGTGGTTGGGAGGCCTGGGTGACCTGTCTGGCCCTCACCTCCACGTCCCGATCACTGCCCTGGTGCTAGACAGCTGCCCTGGCTCTAGTTTGGGGCCCTTGGGAAAGTGTATGACCTTGAGCCAGTTAACTAACCTCTCTGAACATACTCAGCTCTCAAACCGGCCTTCCAATACGCATTTTGCAGAGAGGTTGTGAGAACGAGAGTGTCTAAAGGTATCCGTCCAGTGTGGTGATTATACGTGGCAGGTGCTTGGAAACGGAAGCATTTGTTGAGGCCTCAGAGCATCAGAGACGGAATGCTGGGAATCAGTCCCACGTAATCAGACTACAGCAGGGGGGCGGCAGAGAGGGTGCAGCGGTTTGTGGTTTGTCCTACGGCGCCTTCCCCAAGCTTATCCTCTGCTGTTCTCCCCGCCTTTAGTCTTCCTGCAAGGAGAATCCCTTTAACCGAAAGCCATCGCCCACAGCATCCCCAGCCGCAAAGAAGGGCACCAAGGGATCCAGGCCGGCCAGGCCACCGGCCCCAGGACACGGCTTTCCGCTCATCAAGCGCAAGGTATTAGCCAGCAGCTCCTGGGCACTGGGCGCCTGAGCCCGGGGGGCCCCCCCTTGACTGTCTCTGGAATCCCACGGGACTCTCCCAGACGTGGGGCTGTCTGGGCAGCTGCCCTCGGAGGCCAGAGAGGGGCACTTGGTGGCCTGATTGGGAGGTTTAGCTGGCAGCCAGGGGGATTTTGAGCAGACCAGCTCTTCTCATGTGGGCGCGATGGGTGGTGCATGTACCTTGTGACTCATAATAGTTCAAGGATCAAAGCACTCACATGGGCAGATTAGAGGATTCTCAAGTTTATGTCTACTAAGGTCGCGCTCTCACATTGGGATATCATTTCTGGGGGTTGCCATGAGAGGCAGGAAGTCGGCGCTGGGGCCAGGGGCATCGAGGGGCTGTGGCTGTCTCCACGGCCACCCTTTCCTGCACTGGTATCCTGTACCCGGCACGCTGTGGGGGTGGGACACAGCCGGGGCGCCGGGTCTGCGGTGCCCAGTGTGGGCCAGAGAGATGGCTAAAGCTCCCGGAAGCAGGCAGATGGGAGGGGTGGGCCGTCCTTCAGGTCACTGGGGTCATTGTCCGGCAGGTCCAGGCTGACCAGTACATCCCCGAGGAGGACATCCACGGAGAGATGGACACTATTGAGCGCCAGCTGGATGCCCTGGAACATCGTGGCGTCCTGCTGGAGGAGAAGCTTCGCGGTGGAGTCGATGGTGTGGGAGCTGCTGGGAGGGCCTGGCGGGTGGGACTTAGGGGTGACCGGGGCCTCTCTCCCTGGGGGGCGAGCCCTCGTGGCGCCTTTGAGGGCCGGAGGCGCTGCCAGCCCTGGCCTCAGTGGGCATCTGGCTTGCAGAGGGCCGTGAGGATGACATGCTGGTGGACTGGTTCAAGCTCATCCACGAGAAGCATCTGCTGGTGCGGCGGGAGTCTGAGCTCATCTACGTGTGAGTCCCGCCCTCCCACCCCTAGCCCCGCTTGGCCCCCTGCTCCAGTCCCCAGAATCTGTAGCTTTTACAACGGAGAACCTTCCCTGTCTTCCCTCATCACCGACAGCACAGGGCAGGGCAGCGGTGCAAGGGGCGGGGCTAGCAGTCAGTTTCCCTGCCTTCTAGTTTCAAGCAGCAGAACCTGGAGCAGCGCCAGGCAGACGTGGAGTACGAGCTGCGGTGCCTTCTCAACAAGCCGGGTGAGTGTGGGCACACGTGCTGCTCTGACACCTGCCCCGGGGACCCGGCGACAGGTCAGACTGGGCCCGGTGCTTACCCTCCAGACTGGGGACAGGCAGACTCTGGGAACGGGACCAGAGGAGGAGAGCCCTGGGAGGTGCCGTCTGGGTCACGTAACAGGTGGTACATGGGCTCGATGGCAGGGGAGGGAACCACACAGCCAGTGCGGGGGCGTGGACTCGTGTGGCATCAGGGATGACAAGGCTGTCACCCAGCACCAGGCCCGGGAGCAGACTGGCCTGTTTGGGCCGCTCCCTCTCCTGGAACTTGTGGGTAGATTGGCGCCTACTGGGGAGGGCCTCTGGGCTCCAGGGCCCAGGGCTGCCCCAGGTGCGCGGGTGACAGCAGATGCCTGTCCAGAGGCAGCTCTGGGCTTGTGGCCATCAGGCCAGAGCATGGCAGGATTTTAGCAGCAGTGGGAGGGAAGGCGGGTCCCCTGCACGCTCTTGGAGAGGCAGGAATGGCCTAGAATGGTGGAGGGGCAGCGGGAGGGACTGGGTGTGTGTGGAGTTCCATGGTTCTGTGTTCTGCCGCTAGCATGCTGGAAGCAGTCGGACTTTGGCTCAGGTCGTAATCTCATGGCTCGTGGGTTCGAGCCTCACGTCGGGCTCCATGCTGACATCTCAGAGCCTGGAGCCTGCTTTGGATTCTGTCTCCGACTCTCTGCCCCTCCCTTGCGCTCTCTCTCTCTTTAAAAAATGTTTTTAAAAAAATGCTGGGGGCAGAGGCAGGGGTGTGCAGGGGGTGGTTAGGCCGGTTTCTTAGTCTCAGAGTCTTAGTAGCTTCAAGTGTAAGACAGGACGAAGGTGCCCACCTCGTAGGCTATTCCTAGGACCAGGAGATGGTGGATATGAAGATACTCTGCCCTCGGAGGGGCTGATGGTTGATGGTTATTATGTGCGGCCGAGTTGGGGCCTGTGGCCATGACGTGTGGTTGAGCCACAGCTAGGCAGAGAGACCAGAAGAGCCATGTCTTGGCCACTGCTTGGTCCAGGCGGTGACCATCACTGTTCCCGTTTCACAGATGAGGAAATGGAAAGCTGGAGGTTGAGAGTCTTACCTGCTGGTGGTGGGGCTGGGCTTTTTTTTTTTTTTTTTTAATGTTTATTTACCTTTGAGAGACACAGAGCGTGAGCAGGGGAGGGTCAGAGAGCGAGGAAGACACAGAATCTGAAGCAGGCTCCGAGCTGTCAGCACACAGTCTGACACGAGGCTTGAACCCACGAACTGTGAGATCATGACCCGAGCTGAAGCTGGTCACTTAACCGGCTGAGCCCCCCAGGCGCCCCCGTGGATCTGGGCTTCTAATCCACGTCTCTGACCTGGCCTGTCCCTGCACACACAGCGTCTCCTGTCTGCTGGGACGGTGGCCCTGCCTCTCCGCTGACTGGGGAGGTTGAGGGGCTGGGTGAGGCCCCGAGTCATTCCCCGATCTCCTGAGGCCGAGGCAGAAGAAGCCACAGCGACATCCTGTGGCTGGAGGGGGCGCTGCACCTGTGCCCCCAGCCAGCCTAGGCCTGGGCTCATTGTGTGGCTTCTCCAGCCTTCTGTGCGATGGCAGCACGTCCTGGGTTTGTCATCCTGTCCCGGATGTTGCCCTTTGCAGGGAGAGACTGGTTTATAAGGCCCCAGATGGGCGAGGGGCCCATAACATAACATAACACCGCAAGGGCTATAGCCTGGGGGTGTCAGGTCACCCGGGCTCAAATACTAGCTCTCCCCAGCTGTGTGACACTGGTCAAGGACTTGGCTTCCTTGAGCCTCAGTTTTCCCACATGCAGGTTAGGGACATAACCTCCCCGGGCCCCAGGTTTGGGAAGTAGCAGAGTAGGATTGGATTTGCGGTGGTGACTCAGAAGCCCGTGCTGTCCCCAGAACCATGCTGGGCCCCCTGCCTCTGGGCTTTGGCAAGATGAGGTGTTAGGACATTGGGATGTGACTGGGGGGCCTCGGGATATTTATTTCGAGACAGGGAGGCCCGTGGTGCCAGGTGTTGTAAAGGGAAGGCTAAGTGTGGGCACCCTTCCCCTGGGCGGCTGTGGGCTGGATGAGAGGGGAAAAGGTACAGGCAGGCCCCTGGGGGGGTCCTGTGGGATGGCTCGGGCTCTTGGGAGGAGGCTGGTGGGGCAGCAGGTATGGGAGACCTCAGGGACACCTGCTGGCTGGGCTCCCCGCCCCTAGGGTCCCGACCCCTCACTTGATCTTAGCCAAAAGGCCGAGAAGCGATGGGTCCCGTCTTCTCTAATCTGCCCTCCTCCGTGGCATTGTATTAAGGTCCCAATATACCACTTGGGTCACACTGCTTCTACCGTGCAAGGACCCAGGGGTCCCCCCAGCCCTGCCCCACTCTGGCCAGCCCTCCTTCGGAGGCTCTCAGCAGGCCCGGCCTGAATCCTGCCTCTTCCAAGAAGCCACTCAGTGAACACTTGTTGAACAGAAGCAGGAATGCTTGGCAGGAGCTGGTCTCTATTCTCAGGACATGTGTTGTCGGGGCGCCCGGGGGGCTCAGTCGGTCAAGCGTCCGACTTCGGCTCAGGTCATGATCTCAGTTTGTAAGTTCGAGCCCCGCCTCGGGCTCTGTGCGGACAGCTCAGAGCCTGGAGCCCGCTTTGAATTCTGTGCCTCCCTCTCTCTCTACCCCTCCCCTGCTCATGCTCTTTCAAATATAAACATTAAAAAAAATTAAAAAAAAAAAAAAAAGAGCCTTTGTTGTGCTTGCCATGCTGGAGCCCCCTTGAAGGGGGTTGTGGTAGGGCTCCTAGCGTCCTTCGTCTCTTCCGTAATGACCTTCATTTCCCCCCAGAACTTGCAACCGCCACCCAGCTGGGCCCCTCCTTCCTGTCGTCACAGCCTCCAGCATGGGGCCATGCCGCCGCCGCCTCAGCGCTCAGGGCTTGGTGCCCGGCTTCCTGGGAAGGCAGGGCGGTTCCCCATCGCTCATGCCCCCCGCCTTTCTCCCTGGACAGAGAAGGACTGGACCGAGGAGGACCGGGGCCGAGAGAAGGTGCTGATGCAAGAGCTCGTGACCCTCATCGAGCAGCGCAACGCCATCGTCAACTGCCTGGATGAGGACCGGCAGAGGTGACATGGCGGGGGAAGGGCGGCCCCCTGGCAGCCCTGTCCTCGCCGCCAGCCAGCCCCGCGCTCCCTTGCCCGACCCTGGTGGAGGGGCTCAGGGGCCAGAAGGGACTGAGGGAATGTCCGGTCCTTTCTCCTGTGGGACCGTCGGCTTCTGTATCTTGTTTCAGGGAGGAAGAGGAAGACAAGATGTTGGAAGCCATGATGAGGAGGAAAGGTGAGGCGCCCCTGGGGGTCTGGTTTGCTCACCAGGACTGTCGGCGGGAGGGGGGCAGGTTGAACAGAGGGTCGGAGCGGGCGCTACAGGGGTGGCGTGTGCAAACCCCCAGCCTCTCTGTTGCCGGGAGGGCTGTGTGTGGCGAGGCAGGCCAGCCTAGAGCCAGAGTGGCGGTGGCCTGGCTGGGACCATGGGCTACAGGGGGCCGGGCCGGGCCAGGGGCACTTTCCTAGGGTGGCTGCCTGAAGCCAGGATTCCTCCTTGACATCTGGAGCTGATCTTGGAGGAGCTTGTGGGCTCAAACAGCAGTATGTGCCCGAAACAAGATGGTGTCCAGAACGGTTGAAAGGGCACTGGCTTGGGAGTCAGGAGAGCTGGGAGAGGGGCACAGTCCCCGTCCCGTAGGCCCAGAAAGGGGAAGTGACATGCCCCCACTGCCACACGAGGTGGAGGGGCAGAGCTGGCCCTCCGTCACTGCCCCTGGCCTATCCCGACGTACTGCCCTTTCTCGTCTGCAGAGTTCCAGAGGGAGGCAGAACCCGAGGGCAAGAAGAAGGGGAAGTTCAAGACCATGAAGGTGCTGAAGCTGCTAGGAAACAAGCGTGATACCAAGAGCAAGTCCCCGGGGGACAAGAGCTAACAGCGAGGGCAGCCGGCAGGGACTTTCACCCCTCCTGGCTCAGCCCCTGGGCTCCGTTCCGCTAGGGGGTGAGGGGACACCCCCTTCCCATTAGGATCAGTCCTGAGAAAAGATGACATGAGGGGAGGGGCCCTCTGGATGACAGGCTCTCCCTCCTCAGGGTCCTCTTGCTGGTCTGGGCCAAAGAGTTTTCTCCCTCCTTCTCTGAGCCACAGGCGGCTGTGGCTCAGCCCTGCCCGGTCTGCTTCTGGGGATTCCAGATGCTGGGACTGACCCACCGAGCGAGCAGGATCCTGGGTCCAGGGAGGGGCCGCAGCCGAGCACACCTACTTTGCCCACCTACCTGGCCCCTGCTGGGGCGGGCAGCCCCTTGGTCCCTCCTCTGACCTTCTGGACTGTGTCCAGATGGGATTCTTAGCTGTCACAGTTCTGACCTGGAGGTCCTTCTGCCCGTGAGGTCTGCCGTGGGCGGGGTCTCCTGCCTTCAGGCCTCTGCTGCTGGTGGCAGGCCGGTGCGTGGGGCTCGGCTGTGCCCTCTTCTTCCTGCCCCAGCCCTGGCTCGGAGTCCCCGTTGTCCTTTCCAGTGCAGGTGGCCCTGAATCTGGATCTCCTCACTCGGGAGCTCTATTTATGAGGTCTAATTAGGTGGGAGCTCATTACCGTGTCCTCAGACACAAAGGGGCCTGATGGACAGATCCCTCCTTCTGTCCCTCAGAGTTCTAGGAGGTGCCTCTCTCATCTCCCCTGGTTCCATAGGAAACCTCCCCCCTCCCCCCCCCCCCAGGGACACGGGCTGGGCGGCCACGCCGGGGTGGCTGGGGGTCTCTGAGAGGCAGGCCCCACTGGCACATCCGGTCCCCGATCATCAGCCACAGGAGGGTGCTTCACAGAGGTGCTAAATCCTGGTTCCTTAACACACTGTAGTCTGACCCCTCTTTTAGACTCTACCCACCCACCGCCCGCAGGGCTGGGGGGTGGCGGGCCTGTTCCTGTGTGTGGCCGTCACCAGTCTGTCTACTCACACCCAACTGTTGTCCGTTTTCTCCCGACCTGTTTTCCCAAAGAACTGATGGCCACTCCTCCCGCTGAGGGGGCCGTGGGCGAGGAGGAGCCGATGGGGACAGTGGCCTTTGCCCCGGGGAACGTGTCCAGCAGCTCTTGGTCAAAGCACTGTTGCTATAAGCTATCTCTGGGGTGCTCCAGGGCACCCCCCGGCACACCTCTGGGGAAAGTACGCACTGTATTAACTCACGAGGAATTTCCTCACCAACAATAAATGCAGACAACCTCAGCTGTCAGGGCGCTGGAGCCTCGGGTGCTTTGCCCTCAGCCAGGTCTGCCTTCCTCCCTGCCTCCGGCTCGTGCCGTGGCCAGAGACATCTCCGGTCTCCCCGGAGGGACCTGTGGGGCTGTTCCTGCCAGGGGCCTGGGCCCTCAGTGCCCGCCAGTGTCCACAGCCGGGAGAGGTGTCTCCCGCACCTGCCCAACCCCTGGTGGTCTCCCTCCAGACATGCCCGTGGACCTGGAGCTGGTCACCAACTCCCCAAAGGCTGTCAGGGGCCAGGCAGGTCACATGCATGACCGGGCTGGGCATTAAGGGAGGGGTGGCTCTGGCGGGCTGTCTTGATGTCCGGAGACTCAGGGGGCGGGGCCTGGGGGTGTCCGTGCCCCAAACTAAAGGGGGAAGTTCTTCCGTACTTAAGTCAACTGTAGCTTGTGGGAATGTGGGCCCAGCGTGGCCAGACTTTTCCAGTTTTCAGAAGAAGCTAGAACCCCAGAGTGTGTGTGTGTGTGTGTGTGTGTGTGTGTGTGTGTGTGTGTGATTTGTAACTGTTGGCGGCATCTCATCTGAATTTAAAGCAAGGACAGGCTGTATTGTCAAATACAGATGGTCAGATCCGCCCTGAAATTCTCCAGTTTGCCGCCTCCAGGCTACGGGACGGGGGCCTTTGAGGGGGAGGACAGCTGTCTTTGTCATGTTACACCCCTGCCCTCAGGTTCCAGAGGGACACAGGCCTCCCATGGAAATGTTCCTGAGCCAGCCCTTGATCTGGCCCCTGCCACTGACCCGTCTGAGGCTGCGGGGCCCTGTTTGTCTGCAACCCCAAACTGGGGGCACTGTGGCCTGCGGGATTATAGGAATCCCTCCAGGTGGGAGTGTTGGTTGAAATTTCCAAAAACAGTTTTTTGAGGGTGAAAAAGGCGATTTTATTAAAGCACAGGGACAGGACCCGTGGGCAGGAAGAGCTGCCTGGATTTCCAAAGCATTTTGATGTGCGGGGACAGGAAAGCGGCAGAGTATGGGGGAATGTGGGGCTCGTGGTGGTCAGAAGGCACAGGGGCCTCCGGGGACTGTGTGCCAGGCCTGGGGGGGGAGGCGCTGTTCTTGCGGTCGGAGGTCTCCATAGCCCTGTGAGGCAGGGCCTCCCCGATGGGCAGTCGTTGCTGAGTCTGGGGTGCTGCCCAGGCTCGCAGAGCACAGGCCGGGATCGGAGCTCCCAAGCCAGGCTCTTCTGGTCCAGCTCTCTCCCACCCTTGCGTCTCTGTGGGCCGCGGGTTTAGTGGAAAGGCCGGGAACTAACTTCTAACCCTGAGTGGGCTACTTGCCAGTTGAATGACCTTGGTTACGGTGCCTGGGGGGAGCTTAGATGTCACATAGTGGGTAGCAAGCCATCGCAGGGCTTTATCGAGCACATGGGCCGAGTGAAAGTCAGCACCGGTCACGGGGCCCGGCCGGGGGGTGTTCAAGAAGTGTTGGTTCTCATTTCCACTTGAGACGTGCAAGTGGTTAAGAAATATCTGGGCTTGAAAAAATCCGAACTCCTTGAACAAACAAGCCTGTCCCTCTGAAAACAAAACAGTGGGTGTGATGACCCACGTTAGAGGTATCTTACTGGTCAGTTAGTGGTAGTGGTTAAACCTAGGTCGAGGTAGGTAGGTGGAAAGGACTCCTATTCATTCCTCAGTTCTGAAAAGTAAACGCGTAGGACACACAGTGGATGCTGGGGGGCGGGGGGAGGAAGAGGCCCGTGGGATGCCCTCGGACACCTGGCCGAGAGGGTGCGATTGGGCCTTGCCTTCACTGGATGTGGACTCTTTCCCCTAGAAAAGACTCAAAAGTCATGTGTGTTTATGTGTGTGGTGCGTGTGCGCGCACGTCTGTGTGTGACTGACACTAGGGCTCGGCGGCTCAGCTGCCCCAGGGGGCCTTGGGCAAAGTCTTGAGGGACATCAGCTCATTCTCTGAGATGGGTCCATTTGCTAGGGTGCTGAATGCACCCAGGGTCCCCTGGGCCAGGGCAGTGCTTTGCGGCCATTTGACATGGCTGGAGGCCAGGGTAGGTGGGCCATCCGGAGGGGGGTGACCCTGCTTGGCAACGGGGTGGGCTCCAGTGGTCCGGATTGGGCTACTCTGCCCCTCTCTCTCGAGACAGATCAAGGGTGGCCAGCGCCTTCCTAAGTTCCTCGCTCCTCCTGTGGTCAATGTCTTCCATTTCCCGCAGTTTCTGCAAAGGGCAGTGGGGAAAGCTGGGTATCGGGGTGGGACCTTGAGGGGCCCCAACCCTGGGCCACAGGTGCCCTGTCCACTCACGTCTCATGTTGCACACTCACGGCAGACCCTCTCCCCCCCCCCGCCCCCTCCCCTGACGCTTCTACCTGGGAGATCTCAGCAAGGATGATCCCTCGGTACTCTCTGGCCTGTCCCAGCGCCTCCATGTCAGCCAGGAATTCTTTCCTGTCCTGGATTTCCTTTACCACTGGACAGGCGACAAGGGGTATCAGTGTACAGGGCAGTGGGGACCGCCGGGCTCCTGGGAGGGGCGGCGGGGGGAACAGCCTGCTCCCTCGGGGAGAGGAAGCGTTTCCGCCATCAGTGTTTTCCACTCATTGGCCCTCAGGCTTACCCTCCACCCCCCTGACTGTGGCACTGCCTCCCCCGCCTCCCGCCCCCCCCCCCCCCCCCCCCCCCCCCCGGGCCCAAGTGGCCCATCCGTGGCTTACGTTCTTCAAACCGGTCCAGCTCAGGGGCAGGGACCTCCTGTCGCACAGGAGGGGGCTTCCTTTTCTGTTCCTCGGAGTCCTTCCCAGTGGCAAAAATGTTCTGGAGTCTTCGCTTCTCCTTCTCCAGATCTCCTACGGGGCCCAGGACTGGCCTAGTTACGGCAGGCAAGGCACCCCCCTCGCGGTCCCCAGTTCCCAGCTGGGCATGCTTGTTCCAGGGCCCCGGCACCTCGTACCCTGGGAGCCCCTGAGTGTGTCAGGGGAGGGGGAGGCCAAAAGAACTAAGTCGGACCCCACACGCTGCTCTGGTGCAGAGCGAGGCCAAGAGAACAGGTCGCTGTGGAGGCAGCCTGCGTGGAGAGGCCGCGGGGAGCTGGTGACGAGTCTGGGTCAAGAGTTACCCTGGATGCCAGGGAGGAAGCGAGGCAAAAGGCTCTGAGAAGTAGGTCGGCGTGCCTACTGTGTGGGACTCTGTGACCTCAAGAGGGCGGGGGCCCTGAGATCTGACGGCCAAACGTGGGGACTGGTGGACTCCAGTTAATCATTACAGAGTTCCAAAAGAAAAAAAAAAAAAAAGAAAAAGGACCAGGTAACCGGTTTCTTCCACACCCTGAACACCCCCAAGCTAACAAGTGCCAAGGCTCAAGGGCATTAGTACAAACAGTGAGAGAATTTGATTAGACATGTGCTTGCCCTGCCCTGCGAGCTGCTTGGCCCCTGGGCCCCTCGGGGAGGGAGGTGGAAGAGGGGCTCTCGAGGCCCTGTCACTTACGGGTGGCTTGAGGCTTGAAAGGCTCCCGGCTGTAGGCCCCGCCGGCTTGGCACACCCTGGCAGGCCGGAGGTGGGGCCGGGCCGCCAGGATGGGGGGCAGGTAGATGGCAGAGGCTGGCTGCTTGGAAGGCAAGACCCTCTGGCTGGACGTCGGGCTGCACTGTAGGGGCAGAGTATCTCCTCCTGGGTAAGGAAGAAGGTTCGAGGTCGGGCGGGGGCGGGGGGGGGCGACCCACCTGGCTTTTTTTTTTTTTTCTTAATTTATAGAAGTCATACCTGCCTGTTCCAAGAAGTCAAACACTAGAAGTCTTCCCTTCCCCGCTGCTGCCCCCCACCCCTACCCCCATAGCGAGCGATTGTTATAATCTGGTGGTCTCGTTCCAAATGTTTTGATGTTAATACGAACACGTTCAAAGACGTGTGTGCGTATGTGAGCTTGGTTTTTTGGACACTGGATCATCCTGTGTTCTACTCAGTAATTGACTCTTCACTTAACAGTTTAGCGTGGACACTTTTCCAGATCACTTCATTTATATGTAACTTATTTTTTATAGCTATATACTAGTTCTTAGAACGGATACATTATTTATTCAGCTAGTCCTCTAATTTCGGAAACTCAGGCTGGTTTGTTTGTTTTTCCTACTACTTCAAACAATGCTGCAATAAACATTCTTGGGCATCACGGCTCTGTACTGCTGCTCTTATTTCTATACACGGATTCCGGAAACCTGCTTGGTCCTCAGACAGAGAGGGACCGTTCCGATGGTAATCCACACCAGTCCCCGCTACTGTCCCTCCTCGCTGTCTCGGCCCAGATCTGGGCATCCTCCCCCAGGCCAGCCAAGTGTGTCACCTCCTACCTGGTTCACTGACCCCTCCTCTCAGTTGTCCCAAAGCCCCACTCAGAGCAGCCCCTCCCTCCGTTGTTGTGATCTGGTCCCCCATCTACCTCTTCTACCTTTTCCAGCCTTCTGTCATCCACCCAGCAAAGACGTACTGAGTATCTGCTCAGTGCCAGGCCCAGGACACTGGGGGTAAAGCGGTAAGACAGAGTCCCCCTCATGCCACTTACAGTTGGGGTCGGAGGAGTGTGGATGACAATTAAGTAAAAGACATAGTTGGCAACAGGACAGAGATGGAACAGAGTATGTCAGAGCAGAATTTAGAGTTTTATTATTTATTTATTTTTTAATGTTTTATTTATTTCTGAGAGAGAGAGAGACAGCGTGAGCAGGGGAGGGTCAGAGAGAGAGGGAGATACAGCATCTGAAACAGGCTCCAGGTTCTGGGCTAGCTGTCAGCACAGAGCCCGATGCGGGGTTTGAAACCATGAACTGTGAGATCATGACCTGAGCTGAAGTCAGACGCTTAACTGACTGAGCCACCCAGGCGCCCCGAATTTAGAGTTTTGAATAGAGGAGGTAGGGAAGGGCTCGTGACGAGTTCAGACCCCAAAATGGTGAGTACAGATATTTTGGGGAAGAGCATTTCAGGCAGAAGGAACAGCTAGAGCAAAGGCTGTGAGGCGGTCATGTGCCTGGAATGTCGGAGTGACAGCCAAGAGGCTAGGGGGCCAGGAATGGAGCGAGGGAGGCAGGGGTATGGTGGGAGCAGAGGTCAGAGAAAGCAAGAGAAGTACAGGGGCTTGTAGGCCTCTGGGAAGACTGGCTTTTACTTTTTTTTTTTTTTTTTTTTTAATGTTTGTTTATTTGTGAGAGTGAGCATGCGAGAGCAGGGGAGGGGCAGAGAGGAAAGGAGACAGGAGAGAGAGACCCAAGCAGGCTCCGTGCTGTCAGCGCAGAGCCCGACTCTGGGCTTGATCTCATGAACCGTGAGCCGAAATCAAGAGCGGGATGCTTAATCAACTGAGCCACCCCGGCGGCCCAGATTGGCTTTTAGTTGGAGGTGAGTAACCATCAGACGGTTGGAACAGAGGAGGTACATGGCCGTTGGCTTGCTGCAGAAAGGACAGTGTGGGGGCCAAGGGCAGAGGTGGTCAGAGTTGGCATATGGTTTGAAGGTCGAGCAGACCCAAGCTGATGGGTTGGATATGGGGTCTGGGAGAAAGGAGGAGTTGTCAAGGATGGTTCTGAGGGGTCTGGCCGCTGGGCCCTGGAGTTGCCATTTCTTCCCACGAACCCTCCCCTTCTCACACCCTCTACCTAGAGCCACGCCACGGCCTTCCCACTCTTCTCTGAAGAGACCCTGTGCTTCCTGGAATGTCCCTCCTGCTCCCTCCGCTCCCTATTTCCACCTGTCCAGGGCCATGTGCCACCCCACCCCCTGGCCTACCCTCAGCAGATGATTATGGCCCGACTAATTCTGGGAGGTCAGGTGAAGGCGAGGGATTTGTAGCTAAGACCAGAATTTGAATGAAGCCTCAAAACAAGTAGGATTTGCTTAAGAGGAGGAACCAAAGAGAAGGGATTCTAGAAGGAAGCAGACCCAACACGACCACTTGGAGACACGTTTTTAACGTGAAAACTTAGGGGCACCTCGGTGGCTCAGTCGGTTAAGCATCTGGCTTCAGCTCAGATCATGATCTCACGGTTTGTGGGTTCGAGCCCTGCATCAGGCTCTGTGCTGACAGCTCAGAGCCTGGAGCCTGCTTCGGATTCTGTGTCTCCCTCTCTCTCTCTGACCCTCCCCTGCTCATGCTGTCTCTCTCTCTCTCTCTCTCTCTCTCTCTCTCTCTCTCGGAAATAAATAAAAACATTAAAAAAAGATAACGAATACAATGGGCGAGCTGTGGAAAGCCTTTGCATACTCTTCCTGTGGGGGAATTCTGCCAATTTCCTTGCTTCTACTAGCTAAGCTGTGAATGAATAAAATGAGGAAGACACACAGCCCTTTCGTCTGCAGAGCTTACATGGTATGTGCGTAACAGATTGCAGACGCGACCACGGTGAGACTATTTTGGCTGGGCAGGATGTCTCAACGAGGCCGTGATCTCTTGGGAGGAAGGCTAGAGACAGACGGCAAGAGGCTTTTTGTGGTGCAGGGATCCATGTCCCGGAAAGAAGCAAAGGCCCTGAATGGTCAATTTCCCCGGAGCAAAGGTCAAAAATACTATTCAATTTTTTTAAATCTTTTTTTTTAAATAGAATTTTTTAAAGTTTATTTATTTTGAAAGAGAGCGAGTGAGTGACCCAGGGAGGGGCAGAGGGAGGAAGAGAGAGAGAATCCCAAGCAGACTCCAGGCTATCAGTCTGATGGGGGTGTCGATCTCATGAACTGTGAGATCATGACCTGGGCCAAAACCAAGAGTCAGGTGCTTAACCAACTGAACCACCCAGGTGCCCCCCTTTCTATGGTCTTTAAATAAATTTTTTAAAAAATATTTTCTTTTTGAGAGCGCAAGCAATGGAAGGAGCAGAGGAAGAGGGACAGAAGATCTGAAGTGGGCTCTGGGCCGACAGCAGTAAGTCTGGTGTGGGGCTTGAACTCACGAACTGAGAGATCATGACCTGAGCCAAAGTTGATGCTTGACCGGCTGAGCCACTCAGGTGCCCCTGGTCTTTTCAAATGAGAACCCAGGGGCGCCTGGGTGACTCAGTCAGTTAAGCGTCCGACTTCGGCTCAGGTCATGATCTCGTGGTTGGTGGGTTCGAGCCCTGCGTCGGGCTCTGCTGACAGCTAGCTCAGAGCCTGGAGCCTGTTTCAGATTCTATACCTCCCTCTCTCTCTGACCCTCCCCTGCTCACACTCTCTCACTCTCTCTCTCTCTCAGAAATAAATAAAACATCAAAAAAGATTTAAAAAAATGAGAACCACAACCTTTTAATGTGAAGGAGCATCAAAAGTGTGGTCTAGAGTCCCTCTGCCCGGGAAGCCTCTGTGGACTGCCTCTTACTTTTCATGGTGTCCATGATGTGGCGCTGTTGGAAGTTGGTCAGTTTGGATTCCTTCATCATCACTGCAAAGATAAAGCATCTCCATGAGGCCTTCTGGGCGGCAGACAGAGCCCTTCGTCTCCCCCTGTTCTAGTGTAAAATTCTATCCTCTCCTAACCCCATTCTGCACCTCAGTACTCCTTCCCTTCTCTCCCCTTCCTGCTTCACTGTATTTTCTGTAACACTACCATTGAAATTCTATATAACTATTGTCACTCTCCTACTAGATTCTTAGCTCTGTGAGAGAGCAAGAATTTTTGCTGTTTTTCTTTTTCTTCTCATTTCTTTTATTATTAATTTTTAAGTTTAGCTTAAAACTTTTTTTTCTTTGAGAAAGAGAGAGAGAGAATCTGAAGCAGGCTCCAAGCTCAGTGTGGAGTCTGATGCGAGGCTCGATGCCACAACCCTGGGATCATGACCTGAGCTGAAATCAAGAATCGGATGCTCAACTGACTGAGCCACCCAGGCGCTCCATTTTCTTTTTTTCTTTCTTTCTTTTTTTTACCTGCTGTATCCCTAGCATTTAGAACAATGTCTCAAGCACATTAAGTAGGTTTAAATATTTTTGTGGTTGTTGAGTGAATGAACCATTGGACGGTATTTTATTAAGCTCGTGCCAGGCGCTGGAGGTACAGTTGTGAGCCCACACAGGCGCAGTCGCTGGCCTGATGGAGTTCATGATCTAGAGGGGTGGAAGAATATTAATCCAGGAGGAGACAACTCAGTATCTGACTCCAGGTTGCGCTGTCCATTGGAGGAAACGGTATTTGGTAGTGTGAAAGCACGGGGCTGTTGATTCCACTGTGGGGGTGGGTGGGGAGGAGATAAGGTTTCCTTGGGGAAATTGAAAGTGTGATCTAAGGGGTGCACAGGAGGCAATCCCTTCAAAATTCTCATTTCTTTGACTTTTGGCCACCTGCAAGTTGGAAGATCCCCAAACCTTTCTGAGCCCCAGACTTCTTATCTATAAAATGAAAATAGCAATTGCTAAGCCACAGGTCATGCAGGGAAGAACTGAGTTACAGAGGGGAACGGCTACCACCACTCTTCTCCTGTTCTTTAAACGCACTGACCTCTGAGCAGCTCGTAGGTCCCGGGGGTGTAAGTGGCTGGCCTGGGGCAGCGCCAGAACCCTGTTCCTTTGGTCACTGCCTTCACCCTTTCCTGGGAAGCCATGGAAGGGCCCTGAGGAGGGAAAAACGCAATGACAACCCCTGTCCCCCAGACCCCATTTCTGCTCCCGCACCCCCAACCCCCAGATGCCACCCAAAGTCTGGGAGTGGGGGTCGAGCCACAGCTAAAACGTGATGCTGCCGTCAGTATGGCGACGTGCCCTATCTTCCTACCCCGAACAGATACACAGGCAGATCCTCACACACGAACGGAGACCTCATCCTGACCCGGCGCCTGGGGCAGGGAAGCCCTCTCTGGAGGAAAGGGGCGGTTAGGATAAGCCGTGGTCCGGACAGTGCCCACTGTGGGAGAAACCAAAATTGAAACCTCACCCTGACGTAAGACCCCGGCGGGTGCCTCGTCCTCACAGGGAACGGCTGGGGTGTAACCGCGGCTCCGCAGCTGCACGGCGCCAGAACCCCAGCACAAAACCCTCCAAGGCTCAGCGACTAGAGCCCGCCCCCAGCGGCTCCGGCTACCATGGTAACGGGCACACGCCTCCCGACGCATGCGCAGTTACGGCTTCGGCCAGCCTACCGGAAGTACTTGCCTCCGGGTCACGGCGCAGGCGCAGAGGACGCGCGGCGCTGATAGAGACAGAGGCACACTGCTCTCGGGTCTGCGCGCGGGTCCCTCGCGCGGAGTGGGGTCCCTGCGGCGCCGGCGTCATGTCCGATAACGAGGACAAGTGAGCGCGGGGCCTTGGGGAGGGGCGGGTGAAACGGGAGCCTCGGTCGAAGGAGGCCGAGGAGCCAGGCGCGAGGGGCAGAGTCTGAGGGGACTGCGGGGGCCGAGGGGGCCGGCGGAGCCGGAGGGGAGAAGGGCGGGAAGCCGGGAGGAAGGATCCGTCCAGAGGCCCGCCTTGAGGAGCAGTGGAAAAGGTCTTTCAGCCTGCTTCCCGCGAGCCGGGCTCCGTGGCTTGTAATGAGAGTATTGAGGTGAATCAGGCATTGTCTCCGCTCACCGGGGACGCCCTTTTTAGAAGAGGGGACAGGCCCATAAACATCATGCGGGATCGTGTGAGAGTACGGGATAGAAGTTTTGTAGTATAAAAATAACCCAGGGGAGAGCCTGGCGAGACTCGGGGTGAGGGGTGGTAAAGATCTGAAGTGTTTGTAGTAATCTCGGTGAGAGAAGGTAGTGGCTTGGACTGGGGTGGCCCTAGTAGAGGTGGTGACAGGTGGTTTTGAATTCTGGGTTGATTTTGAAGCTAGAGTCCCAGGATTTCGTGATGTGTGGGGTCGGGAGGAGAGGTATCTTCTGAAGATAAAAATATTTGAGTCATATACAGGATACTGTATTTTATTTTATTTTATTTTTTAAAATGTTGATTTATAATTGAGAGAGACAGCATGAGCAGGGGAGGGGCAGAGAGAGGGAGATGCAGAATCTGAAGCTGGCTCCAGGCCCTGAGCTTTCAGCACAGAGCCCGATAACGGGGCTCGAACTCAGGATCCATAAGATCATGACCTGAGCCGAAGTAGGACACTCAACCTACTGAGCCACCCAGGCGCCCCTAGGATACTGTATTTTAGTCAAAACTAAGAATCAGGGGAGCATCTCCGGGGAGGGTCAGTAGAGAAGAGGAGATGGCTGTTAACTGTTAGAGCATTCTGGCATTGAATGCTTGCAGGGGAAGAGGGGAAACGAGCACAGGAGCCTGAGATGGAGCGGCCAGTGAGGTGGGGGAACCCCAAAAGAGAGGTGTCCTTGTAGTTAAGTGAGGAGAGAATATTGAGCCGGGGAGTGTGTGTGTTGGGTGGGGTGTGGGGGGGTGGTTTAGTGTGCCACTGATAAGACTAAGCTAAATGAGAACGAGAATTGTCCAGTGGATTTAGCCTCGTGGCAGCCATTAATGAACTTGAGAAGTCTGGTATTGCTAGAACTGTGGAGGGGAAAGCCTTACTGCAGTGAGATGATGACACAATTGGAGACAGAAGATGGACAGCTTTCATGAATTCGGCTCCCAAGAGGAGCATGGAAATAGGGCTCTGTGGGGGGATGTGGGGGACGGATAAGAGAAGTAAATTTTGTTTATGTTTTAAGAGGGGGAAATAATTGGGGGCGCCCGGGTGGCTTAGTCGGTTAAGCGTCCGGCTTTCACTCAGGTCATGATCTCGCGGTTCGTGGGTTCGAGCCCCGCGTCGGGCTCTGTGCTGACTGCCAGCTCAGAGCCTGGAGCCTCTTTCAGAGTCTGTGACTCCCTCTCTCTCTGACCCTCCCCTGCTCATGCTGTCTCTCTCTCTCTCTCTCTTCTAGAAATAAATAAAAAACATTAAAAAAAAATTAAAAAAAAAAAAGGGGGGGGAAATAATTACATGTTTATGTATCGGTGGGAATGATCCGGTAGAGAGGGACACAGTGATGACGAATGAATTTTAGCAAAAGTTGGGGGCTGGTGGGGCAAGGAGGAAGGAGTCAAATGGAACAGAAGTTTGATTCACTCAGTAGTAGTTATTTATTGAGTCCGTTCTGCATATCGAGGGAGATGCGGGTGTCTGCCGCCTTTGATTCTAGTAAGTGACGCTCCAAGTAACTGACCTCCTCTCCTTGTCCAGTTTTGATGGTGACGACTTCGATGACGTGGAAGAGGACGAAGGGCTCGGTGACTTGGAGAATGCCGAGGAGGTCAGTGTGTAGCTGTGGGCTTGACCCCCCCCCCCCTTCTCTGCAGCCCAAGCAGCCAGATAACCCGGCCGGTGATCCTTGTCTGAAAGCACTTGCCCCCCGCTTGGTCAGGTCCCCTGCCACTTGCGTGCCCAGTTAGAGTGAGCAGTGTCCCGGTCCTGGGCGGTGGCAGAGTCCAACAGGGTGGGCCGTGGCCCATGGCTTTTGGAGCAGTTGGTTTACCGATGAGTGAAAGGTTACCTTCTTTCATTCAGCAAGCCTGTGCTGATTGTTTATTATGTGTTAAGTAAATCCCCTGAGGGCAGGATTTACTTAAGGAGCCTTGGGGAGAGTGCCCTGGGGTAAAGCTGGAGGGGTAATCCCCCATCTGGTAGGATTTTATAGCCTAAAGGCACCTGGAAGCCTCCAACAAGTGTTATGGTTTTTTAAACGATTTTTTAATTTATTTTTTAAAGTAATCTCTACACCCAGTGTGGGGCTGTGGGGCTCAAACCCACAACCTTGAGATCAAGGGTTGTACTCTGCACCAACTGAGCCAGCCAGGTGCCCCCACCGACAGGGTTTCAGCCACGGAGTGGCACGACCCAGTGGTAGGCATTAGAAAGGGCATTCTAAGGGATGCCCGGGTGGCTCATGAGGTTGGTTAAGTGTCCAACTTCGGCTCAGGGCATGATCTCATGGCTCGTGGGTTCGAGCTCCCCATTGGGCTCTGTGCTGAAAGCTCAGAGCCTGGAGCCTGCTTTGGATTCTGTATCTCCTCCTCTCTATGCCCCTCCCCCGCTCACATTCTGTCTCACTCTGTCAAAAATAAATAAATGTAAAGAAAAAACCCAGAAAGGGCACCTGGCCTCAGAGTGACGGGTGGGTTGGGGAGGAGCAGGAGTTAAAGGCAGGGGCCGTGAGGGTCTCTCCGTCTGGGCAAGTGACCTGTGGCTTGGACGTGGGCGCTGGTAATTAGGTGATGAGAAAATGGACCGGAGAGGTCTTTTGGCGGATTGGACATGGAATTGAGAAAGTGGGAGGTGACTGGGGTGACCCCGGGTCTCTGGATTATGTGACTAGGTGGATGGGTTGCTGATTTCCTGGATGACATGGGGCTTTCTGTCCCGGGACTGACGGAGGAAGAAGTGCTTTGTGGCTCCTGGAAAGGGACTCATCCCTCAGTGTTTTTAGGCTGGGAAGCTGAGCCCCCAGTTTTGGATTTTTTCTTGCTGCATGGCATCCTCGGGCACCTGTTCACCGAATTGGAAACCTCCTCCCCCGTCCTGTTCCCCCACCATCCCTCTTCTGTTGATTCTGCCTCCTACACACAGTCCAGCCCTGTTTCTGTTTCTCCATTCTTTTTTTTTTAATTAAAAAAAAATATTTCTTTTGAAGGCGAGAGAGAGAGAGAGAGCATGAGCAGGGGAGGGGCAGAGAGAGAGAGAGGGAGACATAGAATCCAAAGCAGGCTCCAGGCTCTGAGCTAGTGGTCAGCACAGAGCCCGACACGGGGCTTGAACCCACGAGCCGCGAGATCATGACCTGAGCTGAAATCGAGAGTCAGACGCTTAACTCACTGAGTCACCCAGTCGCCCCTCTGTAATTTTTACACTATGTATTTTACTTCTTAATTTTGTTATCTCTTATAATGAGAGCCCTATAGGGAAAAGCATTTTTATCTGTCTTACTCATCTATTTCAAGCACTTAGAACACTGACACATAGTAAACACTCAAGAAACACTTGATTTAATTCTTTTTTTTTATGTTTATTTTAGTAATCTCTACACCCAACATGAGGCTTGAACTCATGACCCTGAGATCAAGACTCACATGCTGAACCAGCCAGGTGTCCCTAACTCTTTATTTATTATCGAATTTTCTTTAAACATTTATTCATTTTTGAAAGAGAGACAAAGAGCAGGGGAGGGGCAGAGAGAGAGGGAGACACAGAATCTGAAGCAGGCTCCAGGCTCTGAGCTGTCAGCACGGAGCCCGATGCGGGGCTCGAACTCACGAGCTGCGAGATCATGACCTGAGCCGAAATCGGCCACTCAACCGACTGAGCCACACAGGCGCCCCTATTTATTATCGAATTTATTCTCCTGCCTCAAACCGTTCACCCACCTTTTGCTCTGATCGTACTTCACAACCCGTGCATTCTCTCCCGCCGCTGTGCTTTCGTGCCTGCAGCTCAGCCTCCCTGCAATGCCCCTCCGGTCCTCTTCCTAGAGTTGCTTAAGTTTCATCTCTGAACAGTCTCCCTCACCCCCAGCGTGAGTTTGATGCCACCACCTTCTTGTGAACTTCATTGTACCCCTGCATCCCTTTTTGTTCAGTCTTGTCTCCTCCCCTGACTGCGAATTCTTTGAGAGCAGCAATGCTTAGCTCGCTGTCTTTTCGTCCATCATGACGTTCGGCGCATGACAGAGCCCTCATAAGTAACGGTCGGGTGCACGTGAGTCCACATGAGTCCCTGCCTTGACTTTGACGTTTTAGCCACTTGACCTGTCGATTCCGTTACCCTGTCTGAAAGGTGGGGTGCTCGCTCCTAGCCCTCTGCTTCGAGAGATTTGTGGTCTGTGCTGAAGGACTTCTTTGCATGCGGCTCATGTTTCAGGGCCGCCGCCCCTCCAGGCCGCCTGCTCCTCTCTTCCGGGTGAGCGGTTGGCTCTGGGATCCCAGTCGTGGTTCTTGTCTTCTGCTGGGTCTGAGACTTGGAGCAAGAGAGCTAACACGCTGAGCCAGGCCCTGGAATCCCCGCCGTGTAAGGTTATTGCAAGGACGGCGGGAGGTGTCACAAACTGCAGGTGTGCGCACCGGCACGTGGTTGGCGGTAGCAGTGGCGGTGATCGTAATCCTTGGCATCATCGTCCTGCCCCTCGACCCAGAAAATACACCTGAGATGTTCCCTCTATTCTGTCTTGGTGTCCAGGAGGGCCAGGAGAACGTCGAGATCCTCCCCTCTGGAGAGCGACCACAGGCCAACCAGAAACGAATCACCACACCGTATATGACCAAGTATGAGCGAGCCCGCGTGCTGGGCACCCGCGCTCTCCAGATCGCGTGAGTGTGTGCACCCCTTCGTGATCTGTTCTGTCGGTCAGGCCACAGCGAGCCCCCGAGCCACTGACGTGGCCCAGCTGGCACCTGGAAACACTCTCCCTGCTCTCACAGGCTAAACGGGGGTGGTGCTGTCTGCGTGCCAGGCACCGGTCTAGACTCCTGCCCTCAGGGAGTTTGGGATCCAGGAGGAGAAATAGGACATGAATGTCTCAGGAGCCAAGTGATGGACAATAGAAACATAATAAAAATGCAGAACTTGAGAGCTTGTTAGGTTAGTAAAGCAAAATGAAGGAAAAAAAGTGTGAACTCAGGGAGCCATAAACCGTTGTGGGCTGGTGGGTCAGGGGTGCTGTGGCAGTACCTGTCTGTCTGGCTTAAGGTGGTTTTTGACCCAAGGTGGGCTGTGGGCAGCCCAGAGGAGGGGGGGGCCCTCCATGAAGAGGCCAGGCTGGAGGAGCAAAAGCACAGAGCAGCCTTTCCTTTCTCCTAAGTTTGCAGCCAGGCAGAGAAGGAGAAGGTTCAGGAACAAGTCTGTGGACGGGTGATTCTGTCAACTGAACGTGAAAACGTCCGATGACTGCATAGTCCCCCTGTCGCCCAGAGGCGCTGCAGGCATCCAGAGGCTGTGTCTGCAGGGGCCGACCCTCCTGCCAAGGCTGTGGGTGAACACACCCGAGGGCAGCCTGTCTGTAGGTGGAGGCTTTGAGAAAGCGGGGACTGTCGCTGCCGGGCCACGGCCGCTTTTCCTCCCACACTCGCTCTCGGGGGTGACTACTCTCTCCTGCGGAGGAGTGAGTCTGGGGACAGGGAGGGGCAGATGGGCTGCTCCTTCCGCTGATGGAATGTCCTTCCCAGGGAAAGAGAAGGCTGAGGAAACGAACCCCCACCCCAGACCTCTTACAAGCTCGTGCGGGAGACGGTGGCTCCCTGGTTGGATGGGTGCTGCAGGTCGGAAATCGTGGAAAACTGGCTAGAGAGAAAAGCCGGGGTCGCTCTGTGGGGTCCTGAATGCTAGAGGAGACTCTGACCTGAGTGTTCCCTCCTGTGTCTCCGAGTAGCGTTGGGCTTTATTTTATCCCCCTTAGTCCTGTGGGCTAACAATGGCCACCGCATCCACTTCGAGCAGCGTGTCACCGGTGGGTGGCGCTGTTCCTCACCTTCTTTAAAGGAGCACAACCTCTCCCCAGCCTGCTTGCACGCCTGGCTGGTCCGGGGGGAATTAGGGCTGCCCTCAGTAGGGCAGTTGTGATCATCGCCGGCTCGGGACCGTGTGGGCCTGCACCCTCAGTTGTGGCGGCCACTAGCTACGTGCAGCCGTTTATGTTAAGTAAGAACAAGTGAAAATCAGAGGTCAGCCTTTCAGTCTCATTCGCCACGTTTCAGGTGCTTGGTAGCCACCCCTGGCTAGGGACTCCGTAACGGATAGCGCAGATCGAGGATGTGTCCGTCATTGCCGAGCGTGCCCGTGGGCAGTGCTAGTCTAGGCTAAAAATGCTCCAGTGGAAAGAACCACTTCCAATTTATTTCTCAAACAAACAGTGTTTGCAGACTTGTTCGGCACTGAACAAGGTACCGTGCCTGCACCCGTTGGGGATGTGAAGATGATTCCAGACTGGTCCCCCTGGTCCTCCAGGTGTCTGCTGCCTGGTGGGGGAGATGGCTCACAAATAGCTAGAACCCCAGGCCGACGGGAGCAGTGCTTTCCCGAAGGCACGGGGAAGAGAAGGGGATAGTTGTGGGGGTGACCGGGAGAGCCTCACAAGAGGATTAGAATTCAAGAGGGGACGGGAAAGGACAGGCGGTTTTGCGGGTGTCCCAGGGGCCAGCGACGGCACGAGGGGAGGCAGGCAAGCACGGATTGTGGTGGGGGAGCGGCAAGTAGCTGGGGCACCGAGGGCTGGAGACGGTGTCACCAGTGCCTTGAGTGACAGGTTCAGAAGATCGGCATGCATTTGGTGGACGATGTGGGGCACCTAGAAGTTCGGAGGTGAACGTTCAGTGCGCTGCCACCACCCAGGTCCCGCTTTACTGCGGGAGAGAAGCTTGGTTCGACTCGGTTGGCTCAGTTGTGCCCCTTCCAGTTAAGGGTCAGGACGCTGTCTGGTGGTTCCCAGCTTGCTGGAAGCTCGCAGACAGCCAAGGGCTGACTCTTGTCCCCTAGTACCAGGCATGTGACGCTGCACCTTGTAGGCCCTGAGCAAATACTTCTTGGATCTTTTGGATGAAGTCTCATTCTGGTTTATTAGCACCACCTGGTGGCAGATGCTCACCACAGCCGCTTCCTAAGGCTCATTGCCAAGTTTGTGGGGTCCCTGGTGCAGACAGAATACCTAAGGGCACATGCAGGATTTGCACGTTGTGTGCACAAGGCTGGATGAAGGAACCTGAGTTATTCATATCTTGAAAGAAGGAAGGTGTAGGCAGATCAGGAAAAACATTTTGCTACATTCCTTAAAGCTTTAAATTTGGGGTAGAATTTACATACTTGAGAGGGGATAGAGGGAAACTTTTAATATTATGTCTCTGCTCCTGCGACATGTTCGGCTTTTAGGAGTAACAGAAATCAAAACAGTAGTAAGATTAGTAAGTTACATGTGTAAACTGCTGGCTCTCACACTGGCTGATGGTCTGAATCTCCTGCTAAGCTTTGCAGATGGCGGTTCTCAGTCTCGTTCACTAGAATTTCTGTTCAGGGGGCCTGGAGCAGGACCCGCGAGCCTGTATTTCTAGCATGCTCTCCTCGTAATTCTTAGGATTGTCAGGGTTGGGCTCCATTAGGATAAGCTTGTGCTGAAATCATGAATGGTGGCTCCCTAGGAGGCAGGCCTCGGATTGGCGTTCCTCCTGGTCATTTTTAGAGCCCCTTCTGAAGAGCAGTTGTTGGTTTGGGCACGTGGCCCTGGGCCGCAAGGTGCCCCGGCCTAACGCAGAAGACTGCAAATGAGCGGCGGCAGTGCAGCGAGATGGAGAAGCTTATGTCAGATGAGTCTGGGCGTCTCCAGAGTAGGGCTTCCCAGTGGAGGGATGGCGGGGCCTCTCCCAGGTTCGTAGGGAGAGGATGCAGAAGGGGGACAGCGGGGTGCACACAGGGACCCGTGGGGGCTGGGCAAGGCGGGAACGTGGGATGAGTACGGGCAAGTAGCACGCGAAGGTGCTCCTAGAAGGGTGGGCAGGAGTCAGACTGTGTTCTGGCTGACGGCTGTGGGGCGCCACGGACGGTCGTGAGCAGGCGCGTGCTGACCGTAGGCCCGCGTGGGCGCTGGACGTGCGGGGCGCCGAGCGGCGCTGCCAGGGTGGAGAAGGAAAATGAGCTGGCTGGGCCCTGAGGCAGGCCTGAGGGGTTGGGTTAGAGCGAGCCTTTGCCTGCCTGTTCCTTTGTGCTGGAACATTCTGCCGTGGCTGCCAGGCTCCGGGGCCTGTGATGGGTTCCGGGGAAGGTCCTTGGCAGGGGAGCTGGCCGGGGGCGTGTCACGCGGCCCAGAGATGAAAGCCTGCGTGACGTTCATGCTATCTCTCTCAAGTTTAGGGGTCTTTAGCCTGCTGGTGGGAGGTGTGAGAGCACAATGGCTGGAACGTGTGGGATTCAGATGGCTGTGTGGCCTTGGGCAGATGACTGATCTCTCTGTGCCTCAGTTTCCTCATCAGTAAAATGGAAATCATAGCAGTACTCACCTCACATGGGATTAGCTATGTAAAGAGCTGAGAACAGCACGTGGTTCTTAGTGAGCCTTTAGTCGTTAGTGACATTTTAGTGTCATGGGTGAGGCAGGACCTTGTGTCTCCCATTTTCAGATGAGAATACTGAGATTTGGAGAGAAGTTCGGTGTCTTTGGAGGCAGAATTCAAATCCAGTCTCCTGGCTCCCACTGGCTTATACTCACCGTGGCAGTGCCTCTGAACGCGTCCCCACCCCCCATTATTGCCTGTCTCCCCGTAAGGTGACCTTTCTAGGTGAGGACTGGGGTGCCGATCTGAGCCCCCGGATTTCCTCCGGGGCCCCCCCACCCCCCTCACCTGTCCCTGTGCCTACAGGATGTGCGCCCCTGTGATGGTGGAGCTGGAGGGGGAGACAGATCCCTTGCTCATCGCCATGAAGGAGCTCAAGTAAGTTGCCTGGATCATGGTTCACTGCTCCGGGGCCTTGCGAGCCCTCAATCCATCGGGCTCCCTGCTGCTCACCTCTGCCCCCACAGCCCTGCCTGGGGAGGTGACGTTCTCGTTCCTCTATGTCCTCAGTTCTGGAGTCAGCCCGCCAGGCAGGGGGGTGGGAGGGGGCGGGCAAAAAGGGAGGGCTTTGATGAGTCAGGGGCCTCTCCTGTCTGTCAGAGGCCCCCTCTTCCTGATGCACTTGGCCGTACCAGGTTCCCTCCACACTTGCCATCCTCACCGCTTCCACCCTGGGGAGACAGAGCCTTTCCAGAGCCGCTGGCCCACGCCCGGGGCTGCAGGGACCCTCTTCTTACCGCAGTTGCTTTTCCACGCCTAGTCCCAAGAGGATGCTGCTGAGACTTCCCTTCCCTTGCCTTCTGCACACCATGCGTCCCTTCTGCTATAGAGCTGGGGTCGCCAGCCCTCACAGACACGTGTGACTTCTCCCTGCCGCAGGGCCCGAAAGATCCCCATCATCATCCGCCGCTACCTGCCGGATGGGAGCTATGAAGACTGGGGCGTGGATGAGCTTATCATCACCGACTGAGCTGGGATCGCCTTCCTGACTGTGCCTCATCCTGCTTTCGATTTTCACGTTCTGATACATGTAAATAATAAACTGTCCAACCTTTCAGCCCCCCTGCCTCCAGCTCTCTGGGATGCCCGCCCGCTCCTTCCCTGTTACTGCCCTGCTGCCTGGCGGCTGCACCCATTCCCACAGCCCCATGACTGTCCACTCCAGAAGCACCGGGGGCCGCACTCCGTGTGGGCCCCCCGCATCCCTCCCTCCGTCTCCCCATTCCCCGGCGCAAAGGCCGGTGCGGGGAGACACCTCAGCTGCCTTCCCGGCAGACAGACGAGTCTTTGTGCCCAGAGATCTGGTTGCCACGGAAACCCCCAATTTCCTCTCCAGTGGGGACTGGCTGCAGGGGCTTCTCCCTTCTCAGGAGTATCACAGAGCAGGTCTCATCAAGCCACCCATTGTTTCCTGAGGACCTGCCTCGAGCCTCTTATCGTGGGCGCGGATCCCCTTTCAGGAGCGAGTGGCCCGGCAGGAAGCTCGGGGATGCAGTGATCTCCCGCCCTCCCCAGGCAGAGCCTAGCCGCGCAGGACGGCAGCTGGAGCGGGGACCGAACACCTGCCCGCCCCTGTCCCGGCTCCGTGCCCGCTCCCCAGGCCTCCACCCCTACCCTGTCTTCTGTGGCCATACCCTCTCCTCCCCCACCTCTGGAAGATGTCCTTTCCCTTCTGTGTGAGGCCCATGCTCCTCTGACACCTTGACTGGGATGACGGGCAGGGAAGCAGGGCACCTGGGTCCCAGGTATGACATTAAATCGGCCCCGGAGCTCACTTCCTCTGCCCGAGGTTTCCTGGGTCCCGTTCTCTTCGCCCTGCTTATTACCCTCCTCGTAGTAAGACCAGTCACGTTGCTTCCTCTCTCCCTTGGGCGGGGGCGGGGGGGCGGGAAAGGGTGCTTCCTGACGCCAGCAGGGATAGAGAGGATGGGTGGCTCCCGGAATGTTTCAGCCTTGGCCCCCCTGTTCTGCTGCCAGCCCCCCTTCCAGGAAGAGGAGGGGCGGGCTTGCCTGACCTCCGCACGAGGCAGGGCCTCTGGGGTGGGTGCCCTGAGGACAGAGGGGGAGTGATGAGCATCCCTGGGAGCGGGAGGGGTGTTTGCGGCCCCAAAGAAGGGTTAATCCAGGGAGCAGTGGACTTCGCACCCCCTTCCTCCCTCCTCCAAGCCTGTGGAGTCCTTTAATCAAGTTGGGTGCTGAAATTCCAGCTCTGAAATGCCGCCTTTGTGCTGGCGTCCAGGCGGCCGCCCCAGAGTGCGGGGTCACTTTCTCGGCCCCGATCCTCTAAATGGTCTCTTTGTTCCTGCTGGGCCGCTCGGTATCAGATGTGATTAAAGGGAGATGGGGTTTGGGCGGGGGAGGAGAGAAGGGGCTGGGAGAGGGAGTAGGGGGTTAACCCTTAGGGGATAGGGTGTCAGGGAGATGGGAAAAGGGGTGGATTTCCTCCTGTCTCCCTTCCCATTCTGCTCCTCCTTCATGGGGTCTGTCTCTGGCTGCTCAGCTGGCCTCGCCTGGGCGTAGCTTCTTCAGTCCTCTCCCGAAACGCGTGGCCCCACCTCTGTGCCCCACCGGAGCCACTGCCTTATGCGGCCCAAGTACATCCAGACCCTTAGGTCTAAGCGGTGAGCACAAGCCAGGTCTTCCTGCTTCTCCAGGTTCTTTGTCCTCTCTGGGGCCACTTCCCCTCCTCCCGTATCCCCAGCAGCTTCTCAGTCCATCTCCCGTCTCATGAGAGGCAGGGTCCAGGAGGTGGTGGTTTCTTCTCCATGTGACCCCTCCCTTCCGCCCTGCTGCCCGTGTCCCCGACCCCACCGAGAGCAGGAGCAGCGAACGGACTGGAAATGGACCAAAACTCTGCTTTTCAGTAGAGGGGAAAGGGCAGGTTGTAAACATTGTGAGCACCTAAGGCGAGTACTGAGTGGTCCCTAACAAAATTCTAGAATATTCTGGAATACTTGAATATTTGAAGACACATAGCTAATAAAGACGAGATCCCGGAGCTGGCAGAGTTTCTAAGAACATCGCCAAGTGAACCAAATTTCCTTTGCTTAAAGGCTACTGGTCTGGTGGGTTGATAGGACAGAGCGGATCATGACTTTAGCAAGGCATCAGGCCAGTCTGCACATATGGCTACGATGGAGAAGTTTGTGCCTTTTTTTTTTTTTTTTAAATGTTTATTTATTATTGAGAGACAGGCAGAGCACAAGCTGGGAGAGGCGGAGACACAGAATCCGAAGCAGGCTCCAGGCTCTGAGCTGTCAGCGCAGAGCCTGACACGGGGCTTGAACTCACAAACCGTGAGATCATGACCCGAGCTGAAGTCTGACGCTTAACCGACTGAGCCCCCTAGGCGCCCCGTACTTCTAATTAGACTCCAAATTGATCGGTCAGTCTTCTAGGAGTGTAGATAATAGGACGGATGATGGAGAAGCCTTTAGTGGTGTACACAGGCCTGTCCCTCTTCATTTCCACCTTTTTTTAAATTGGTGACTTGAGTCAGGATCTTCAAGTTCACAGATCCATAAAACTCAGAAGGAGCGCTAATAAGTTGGATTCAGAATTCCAAGATTTAAGAGAAGTGGGAAAATGGTCAGATCCAACAAGATGCAATCTGTTAAAAATCAGCAGAGAACCCTGCATTTATCCACAACACAACAAATGAAGACCCCAGAGGATAGCGTCTATGTAGTTTGGGGGTGACGTGACTTGGCAGCAAATACGTCCACAAGAGCAGGGGTTTGGGCTTCCCGGGAGCCCGCAGTGGTGGCTGAAATTGACCGAAGGGCCCACATGGTGCAGCTTCCAGCCAGGAGTGTGGGCAGCCTGGAGCGCGGGGCTAGTTCTCAGCGCTCCCTGCCCCGCCCCAGGCTCTGGCTAGGAGGCGAGGGGCTGGGCCCCCCAGACAGGAGAACCAGGTGAGGGAGCTGGAGGTGCAGAAGACGCATCACCAGCTCACAGGGCAGAAGCGGTGCCCGCACGCCAGGGGCAGGGGAAAGAGACGGTGGTTAAGAGCATGAGCTTTGGAAACTGCTGCCTTCAGATTCCGGCACCAGCACTTCTTTGCATCAAGTTTGGTAGCCGCTTGTTTGGAAAATAGGGAGAACGAGTGGATCCACTCTCTTCCCAGGCCCGAATGGCAGAAGCCACTTTTGGCAGTGCACTCGGCCAGGGAGCGCTCAGTGCGCGGTAGCCGTTGCTGCTCTTATGCGCCGGGTCTAAGGAAGACTTCAACCACCACAGCCATCCGTAGACGGAGCAGGGCCGAAATGAGGTTTCTCTGCCCCCCCCAACCCCCCCACACAGTTTGGAGCCCCCCCCCCCCCCCACTGAGGGGAGAGCTCTGAGGGAATAAACACTTGAAGATTAGGTTGCATGTCTTTGTCCTGAGTTTGTACGCAGACACAGGGAGCTGCCATGAAGACGGCTTGATCCTGGAGTGGACCAAGGCGCGCGTGTGTGTGTGTGTGTGTGTGTGTGTGTGTGTGTGTGTGTGTTAGGGGAGAGGGGGCACAGAGAAGTGGACCAAGGCGTGTGTGTGTGTGTGTGTGTGTGTGTTAGGGGAGAGGGGGCACAGAGAAGGGTGCAGTGGGAGAAGGCCCTTCGACACATCCTAAAGGACAGGCCTGCGGGCTGCAGGTAGCCAGACGTCAGGTTTTACTCACCTCTTTCCAATCCCCGCCCCCCTGCCCCCCACCTCTGCCGGGCGAGTAAGAGGGGCTACATGGAAGGTGCTCTTGCCCGAGTCCCAGCTGAACAGCAAGTGGCCCACCTGCGGTGTGGGCACAGCTGGGCTTGGGGGGGATCTCCCAGCCGAGGCCTCAACCCCGAGCTTACGCTGACCCCGCGGGGATGCCGTCCCCCTACCCTGCCTTACCGCCACCTTCTCAGGCCAAAGAGACCCCTGGATCCTATGTCCTTTGCGTTCCACCCCTAGCCACTCCCAGGGAGCCTTCGAGGAAGCACAGTTCAGGGATAAGAGACCAAGAGACAGGCCAGGTCAGTCCCACCAATCAGGTAACCGGAACCTTTAATTTTTATTACGTGGAAGGCTTAATGCAGAGTTAATAGGGGCTGGAGTACCTAGGAGGAGGGGGGGGCGAGGGGAGAGGGAGCTACTGAGATAAATAAGAGGGGGCAGTAATGAGTTACATGTGGAGTGTGGGGGCTGCAGAACAGGAAGATAGGGGCAGACAGAGCTACATACTTTATTCAGATACCACTGGGAGGCAAAGGGCAAAAGGCCAGGGCGGAATGTACATGTCAGTTTAGTGGCTTCGGCCCACTGCCGGCCGCCTGGGCGCCAGGCCCCCACGTCTCCTCCTGGAGCAGAGGGTTGGGGCCTGCGTGGCTGCAAGGCTCTGGGAAGCCGGAGGAGTTGGGGCTGATGGAGCAGGGACAGCAGGGCCTGGTGAGGGGCGAGTTGGCGGGGAGCCTGGGAGGAAGGCCCTGTGAATTGTCTCCGATCCCTTTCCTGGAGCCCGGCCTCCGCTCCTGGGCTGTGCCTCAAGGTCTGGGAGGCCGGAGCGCAGGAGGACCGGGGACTCTTTGCTCCGTCAGAAAGAACGAGGTTGGTGGCACAGAGATGCATCTGGAGGCCTCTGTACCAACTCCTCCCTGTGTCCGGAAGTGGAGGGGGCGCGGAGGGGCTAAGGAGACCTCCCTCGGAGACCCCACCCCTCCCAGGTTTTCAAAGCTGTCCTTAGTCTCCCCCCGCCCCCAAGGGCATACGTAGCCCACTGCAGGCACCATGCAGGTCTGTGGCTGGCTTCGATCTTAGGCACGTGGCACACGTGGCACGGGTTATGTCAGACCCCTCATTCTCCACCAGGGCACGAACAGGGGTGCATGGGATTCCCTCGGGTTCCCGTCCAACCCCGGATGCCGCCCCTACCCCCAGGGGAGGGTGAGTGGGTCTTTCTCAGGTCCTGGGATGAGGGTCATTCCTGGGGGGAAGGTGCAGCCCCTTGTCGTTCAGTCTAGGGGCGACAATCAACCTCCTTCTCCTCTGCCCAGCCTAGTGGCCCTGGGCTTTGCCCTGGGCTGGAGCCTGGATAGGAC